CATGTGGCCTAAGTGCGTGGGCTTACACTCACCCTCCCTACTCTACAGATACAGATACCGGTTAAGACGAATTCGGAAAAAGTGTCAGCTCATTTTTTTTCAGTATTTCCAATTTTTCTGGAACAGTGGACATTAATTCAAGAATCTATACCCACCCCATATTTTCGAAAGCACTTTTTCTAGAATTCCTCAATATTGAGTTAACACCTTCGTGCACCAAGGGCTTCAATTTGAAGAGTATAAACGACTTTCACGCTGTTTTTTAATTTTTTGGATCAGTGACAGTAGGCCCGATTGAAACTCTAAAGTTTCATCATCGTCAAAAGATTCAACACTCGGCAGAACACCTTTGAAAAAAGAGAGCATCGGATGTTCTTCACGATTGTCTGTTGATAGCCTGCTATCTAAAAAGTGACCCATTTTATCATCGAGGCTCATGGGCTTTTTGGAAGTACTTGGTATTGGTACTTCTGAACTTTTGTCATTTGGTACCTCTGAATTTTTATCTTTTTTTTTAGCCGCTGATGTCTCTGGACATGTGTCGTTTGGACGCTTCTGGACAGAATCATGAGTGCGATTAGGCTTTGAAAACTTCGTCCTTGCTCCAAATTTTTTGACATTATTTTTATTTGCTCGCTTCCAGGCATCTCTTAAATTCGACCACTTTGGAGATACTAGTTTACCTGCAATTAAAATACGTTTATATGTTATCTTACCTTTTTTTTATTATTTTGCAGATATTGTGCATCGGGTTGTTCCTTCAAAGAATTGCACTATAGTTAAAGAGTTGGTGTGTCAACTATTAGTAAGACTTGCAAAGAAATAAGTTGCACTATCTGGGATGTATTAAAAGGCGAGTTCATGAATATACCTGATAACGAGAGAAAATGGCTGGAAATTGCAAAAGCTTTTGAAATCAAAGCCAATTTTCCGCATTGTCTTGGAGCAGTTGATGGAAAGCATATCAGAGTGAAGAAACCAAATAATAGTGGCTCGATGTATTTTAATTACAAATACTATTTTTCATTTGTTTTATTAGCCGTTGTTGATGCAGAATATCATTTCATTTTTAAGAGTGTTGGTTTCTATGGAAAAGAATGTGAAACCTCGATATTCAAGGAGTCACCCATGTGGAAGAAAATGAATGATGGTAGTTTAAATATACCAAAAACAAGGCCTCTACATGAAACACTTCAAAAAGATATGCCTTACGTTCTCGTGGGTTATGAGGCTTTCCCACTATCACCCAATTTGTTAAGACCTTTTGGAGGCCCTCATTTGGATTACAAGAAAAGAATATTTAACTATCGCTTGAGTCGGGCAAGGAGGTACGTTGAATGTGCATTCGGTATTTTAGCCAATAAATGGAGAATACTTCATCGGCCACTGGATGTCCATCCAGACACGGCTATTGAAATTGTAAAAGCGTGTACAGTGTTACATAATTTGGTAAGAGAAAAAGACGGCCTGAACATTGAAGATATTCAGTATGCGGTAGAAAGTCCGATGCAAGAACGAGTACAACTCCAAAAGTGTAATCCACGTGGTAGTCCTTTTGCAAATGATATACGATCTGAATTTGCTAACTACTTCATTTCAACAATGGGCTCGGTGCCTTGGCAAGCGCATGATTAATATGTGTAGTGTATGTAATGTATTTTGCTTCAGACAGATAGATTCTCTGCTGATACCTATGTATGTATACCTAACCCATTTTTAAACGAAATACTTAGACACTTACCACATACTTGTCTTTCTTTTTCGTCCAAATGTTCAAAATCAGGTATGAACAGGCAGCCAATTTCTCGCCAAGCAGATAATTTCAGTTGCCGTTCTTTATAGTCATTTAAAGTTTTGTCCCAAAGGAAACCTCTTTCCTGAACTAGTGTGATTAATTCTTCAGGGTTTATATTGGTTTCCATTATTACTTATTACGAACCGACAATTAAAACATAACAACTCGGCTTGCGCGCCGCGATGTTTGTGTGCGCGCCGCGATGTTTGTGTGCGCGCCGCGATGTTTGTGTGCGCGCCGCGATGTTTGTGTGCGCGCCGCGATATTTGTGTGCGCGCGATCGCGGCGACATACGCAGGGGCGGAACAAGGAGAAGCGGGGGAGGACAAAATGTGAACAGAGCTAGTCTTAGGCTTATTTCATATTTACCCGGCAGTCGGACATATGATGTCGGTCGCCAACACCGACACGGATAGTAGATCTGTTCACATTATTCCGATATATTGTTTCCGACAGTAGTAAGTCCAGCCCCGAATATCGTAGTCAATGCCTAGTACTACTTATCATTTTACATAAACGGTTAAAAAAACGGAGAAGAAATAGGCCACAGTGTGGGAATGAGGATTCAAACTTTTGACGAATTACATCTCCAAATCAAGAATTCAATACAACGTCGTAACTCAACTTTTAGATACTGCATACAACCAATAGAAAAGTGTGACTGACAGTCACACTTAGGTAAGTAAAAATCCTAGATACATTGAAGATTTTTGTATTTGTCAAATAATATAAGTAAACATTTAAAGGCTTCAACTAAAGTCATAAGAGTCCATAGATGAGGACTCGGTATAATATTCTGAATCAGCAGGGGAGCAGGAATATATTCCAATATGTTCTTGCCCAGGACGTTCATAATAATTTGCAGTACCTTCTTGATTCATAGGTTCGAGGCCATGGTATTGGTGATGCTGTGATGAACATGAAGATCGAGGTTCGGATTCTGTATTATTTTGAGTAACCTGGTTGACATTATATTTTTTTTGTTTTTCTTTATTTCAGAAATGATTTGCATCACCTTCAGTTGAAATTCAACTACTTCATCGTCATCAAATGTTTCGAGTGTGTGAGTGATGCCTTTAAAAAAAGAAAAATGCCTATTAGGTTTTTCTTTAATGGCATTGATGAGTTCCAGTTCAATTGGGTCTGGTTTTCTTTTTTTTTAACAGTGGGTCCGGCTTTTTAAATCGAGAAGTTTCCGCTATTTTAGGAGCACTGCCGATTGCTAGTGCGTCATTTTAACTTTCAGATTCTTGTAAGGTCGTATCAGCGCCGCTACCTGTATCTTCAGCGTCAGGAATCATCAGTAGAACGTCCTGCAGTAGTTTTTTTTCAAAAATTGCAGCTGTTGAGCAAATATGTAAGTTTTGGGTGGCTGCCTCGCACTTCCAGATTTCAAAGATGCTTTATACATTCTCTCACTTCTTTGAAAAGGATCTCGAATATTTGCCCATTTTTTCATAACGGTTTTTCCTGCAAAACAAAATACTTTTTAGTATACCACCTAGTACAATCATAGTTATTTTAATACAACTTTGTAAACAATTTATTTTTATAACAATAAATTATATTGATTGATAGATGTTTGATAAAAGAAATTATTGTTTCAGATATTTGACGAGTGGTTGTATATTTACCGATCTTCACTACAGTTATAGGCTAGGCATTTCCACTATTAGCAAAATGCAGATGCAGATTATTGTTTTATCTACGTCGATATCGGTAGTTATGGCAAAGATAGTGATTCAATTATTATATTTAAGGACAGTTCCTTATGAAAGTCACTTGAAAAAAATGAGGTAGGAATGTCAGAAGCGAGATGTCTTTCTGGTACAAAAAGTCCCAAAGTATCGTATTTTTTCCTAGCTGATGAAGCATTCGGGCTACACACACATCTCCTCCGGCCATTAGGTGGAAATCAGTTGTCAATTTTCAAATGAATTTTGAATTATCGCCTATCTAGAGGTCGAAGGTATATAGAATGTGCCTTTGGAATTTTGAGTAATAAATGTTGTTAAGGAATGTGTAATTTTACACAATTTCGTTTTTGAAATGGACGGCTACAATACAGATGATACTCTATCCACAACTGGGTTCCAAGATATCACGAGAACAGATTTTGTACGTGGGGAGAGTTTAGCAAAAAATGTACGAAAAATGGCGATTGACTATTTTATGACACCAATTGGCTCAGTAAAATGGCAGTTTTCTATCATTCATTTTTTCAAATCCAGGCTTCAACTCTTTAAAAATTTCTAATCAAGCATTTCTCGTTTGTACTCTATCCTTGTATTCTTCTAATGTTTTGTCCCATATAAAAGGTCGCTCCTGTACTAAGTCAATAAGGATTTCAATTTCAGCCATGTCAACAGAACTAAGTAATGTTCAACTTTTACCAAATACAAAACAATAAAACCAAACGTAGAAATGGTCACATGACCACGACGCATGCCGGGTAGATGTGAATAGCGCTATCCAGTTGAATACTCCACTATCTTACCGGCTTGGTTTGAACGACGACTGTCGGGCAATCTAGTAGGAGCTGCCGGGTGCCCTCAACAATAGCCCGACAATCGGATGTCGTATACACCATCACGACACAACTCGAACAAATGTGAAGCGTGCCATAAACATTTAATCCTAACATTCGGCGGCCGACATCGTTTGTCCGACTGCTGGGTAAGTATGAAATAAGCCTTACGTAAAGGCGAGCGAGATCCGACACGATTTTTTTCCAGGCGTAGAGGGCTGGCAAAATACCCGACATTTACTATAGGTACCGACACAAAATCGGTTTCCGATAAGTGTGAATAGCTTCATATAAAATGCTTCGCTACTAGAACCTCCGATTAATATTCGTATCCGACATCCGACAAGTGGGAATCAGCTTTTATTGTGAATCATTTTGTAATGTAATCATTACATCTAGTCCTTCACCATTACATGTGACCCGCCTGTTAATTTTGAGAAATCAAGTTCTAATTGTATCCTGTCCAAGGCCAACTGCATGTTCAATCATATAGCCTTGCATTTTGTGAACACTCGATGCTTAAACTCAGCATTGGGCATCCTGATGAGAACAATGGGACAAATTTATTAAAATAGTTCTTGATAATTGTGCAAAATTTTAAATTATCCCGACCAAATTGGGTGAAAATAGAGTTCAAAGGTTCAGTTACATACGGGTCAAGCTATTAAAAGCGTGGTAAAAAGTAAGAAAACAACTTTATTGAAATCAACATTGACTAAAACATAAAAAAATAAGAAAAGTACCAAATCAAGTTTTCTTTTTGTATGAATTCTGAATGAATACTTTAATTTTTTTCCATGACTTATTTTCCAGCAATTTAGGATACTTGTCTCTTAGATTATCACATTCGTGTCGTCTAGGAGGTTTTTTCATATTGATGTGATTCTGGAAGAATTGTGTAACAACTTTTTTTTGTTGATTTGTCCAAGGTACTAGCAACCGCTTTTTGAAATTGTCCGCATTTTTGTTCACTGTGGAACTTGAATCTCTTATATTTTGTTGAGATGCCTCTATATCTTCATCCAGAATATTCCCTGAATCATTTATGCCTTCAATGATTTCTAAATCGTTCTTTAAATCGTAATTTTCTTCATCTTCCTCTTCGAAAATGTCATCATCCATCTTTAAATCTATTTCATCTAAAGTTTTTCCTTTGTAGTTTCCTGCTTCCCCTCTTTCCATTAACATCAACAACTTGGCTATTTTGGCAGTCTGATAGACATCATCAGGAAGACGATACACCTGCTTATGTGCATCTACTGTATGACCCATTAATGTAGCTAACTGCTCAATATCATTTTGAGTCATATTGAAAACTTGATTCAAAGTAGCCAAATGTTTCCTTAACTTTGATGAGGTTAATGCTTCAGGATTCACTGCCCCACACAATCGTGTGTACTTGTATAGCACTTTGTATCCAATCAGAGGTTGCTCTTTTGATGCAGGATTAGCAAATAAAAATGAATTAGATTCATCGACAAATTCAGATCGTGCTTGTAAAAACAGTTTCATATGATCTTGTACATCCATACTGAAAAGAACTGGAACTCCCCTACCCCCTTTTCCTCTAGTAACTACCCTTTTAAAAATTTTCAATAATAATTTCTCTGCTGGGGTTACAGCATCAGCGAATTCCTCATAATTTGAATTATTACTTTCTTCTGTAGACATGTAGGTTGCCAGTTTCATTGTTTGCAGTTCTCCAACTCTTTTTCTGTTCGAAAGAAGTAATCTACAGAATATAGTCTCCATTAAAACTTTGAAAGCTTTGGAGTTTTTAATATTTTGTTTCACATTGTGTGCTGCTTCTTTTCCTTTTTTTATCAGATAGTCTCTAAACAACTTTAAGTCTGCTGCCAAGGGAACCAGAGTTATTTTATTCCAAGTCTTCGTGTTTAGGTCATTTCCTGCTTTAGTCGAAATTTCATGTTTCCATGTAGTTTCTAATAATTTCCTGAATAGTTCAACATGTGCCTCAGCTTCAGAGGCAGTTAAGTTCAAATAGTTGTGTTTCCGTTTTACAATATGCAAAATTGCTATGTCGCAACAGTCCTTTAAGGTCCTACTAATATTCATAGCAAAGGTAGGTGATTCGAACTCTTCTTTCTGCGGATCGTATTTGGCAATAACCTTTACACTCTGGACCACTACATCAAAGTACTGTGGCAGAAGGAGATCAAATAAATTTTTAATGGAAGAATCAAATTTTTGGGATTCCATCAAAACTTTTGCCAATTCCCTCATTTTTCTTGAACAGACGTGAATTCGGTGTAATTCTTTGTGTGTATTTAGATATCTAGAACCGAAGGCACATATAAGGGAATCCTTTTTGGCAGTAAGGGAAACTTTGTCTGCCCACATACGTGGAAATACTTTAGTCGTCAAGTTTAAATTAGTCTGATCGACACAAGGCAACAAATTTTGTCCAGCACTGAGGGATTTTCCTACAAGAGGATTTTTATTGAAGGAACACATCTTTTTATGTTTCCATAAAAGTTTACGAGAATAAAATCCCAGACAGTAGGGACAAGGAATGTAATTTTCTTCAGTGTCCTTGAGCGGGCTCCTATGTACTGGCTTTGAAAATGTTGTTGAGTTCTGAATGAAGTTCCCTTTTTTTCTCAGGCAAGCAAAAGCACGTTTCCTTTCAATAGAATTAGATGGTAAAGCTAGAATATTCTGTACTTCTGTTTCCCCAACATGATTGCGTTGAATGTGTCGTGCAAAATTTTTTACTTCAGTTTTGCAAAAAAAGCAAAAATCTGGTTGCCGAATAACCTTAAAAGGTTTTGTTCGGGATGTTTTATGTTGTTCACTGAAACCAGCTTCGTTCATGAATTCATCGCGTTCATTTGTTGTACCAGAAATGGCATTTTCATCACCATCAGCAATCTGTAACAAAATGATTGTGCTGAAATTCAAACTAAATGAATTCAAGACTTCAGTTTCATTTTGAGGTGTGAAAACAATATTAATGTTATAAAATTGTGTTAAAAATGTGTTTCCGTCAACCAATTATGATCTCTATATAAACGACAACCTTCAAAAATCGAAACTTGTGTTTCAACACGCAATTCACAGCACGGGATAAATGAAATTCAATAGACACCCACTGTTCCAGGTTAGGGATCATTTCCACATTCAAAATAGTAGAAGTTACCACTGATGCTAACCAAAAGTCTATCATTGTACCGAATTTATACAGCAACAACAGTTTTTGGTAAACATTTTTTCAATGAAAGCTTTTATTATATTTCATATGTGAATGTTATAACCAACCTTGTAATTCAATTTTGAGAGATAATATCTTTGTATATAGAGGTTAGTCTATATACAATGATAATATGGTTAGGTCAGGAGCTTTGAACGAAAATTTTATTTAGTGTTTTAGTATTGAGTAGAAAACGATTAAGCTCTGATGAAAAAAATTAAATAAGAGAAGAGAAACACATTATAATTAATGTCCTTAAAGACTCGCGACATGTGATGTGTGGAAAAAAAATCAAGTTCCACTGTTCATTGTATCCCAGGCCAATCAGCTTGCTAACTGGCATGCGACGGATGTTGGACAGGCTCACCGTCTTCCTTCTATTACAAACTAAATAACACTCTACCAATTGCTAACTGCTGCAGATATATTCGTCTACTGATTTCAAAGTGTGCCAGGCATTTCTTTCATGTTAAACAGCGCGAGTCACCCCCGCCATGAAACCGTGAAAGATTCACATTGCTAGTTGCTACCCACTGGAGATGTCTGAGGTCACAGCCAAGCCCTCCTCCCAGCTGGATGCATTAACAGATGTCGATACGAGCAGACAGTGGTTGTTGCGCTTCGTAGAGGGCAGAAGTTAACACAGTCGTCGGTCGCCTGCGTGTCACCATCGACAGCGAGGCTAGAGCGATGCTTTACGTCATAGCCATCGCCTCATCGAGAGAGAGAGGTGAGTACACACAGATGAATACGCATTACTCAGCCACACGCCGTGGAGTGAACATCTCGCTCTCTTACCGTTGAACGGTTGCTGCTGTGACGTCACACCACTACTAACTTGGTGGACTCACACCGATGGAACATTCATTACTTGGAAGATCTTTGAAGTATGCAGACGTATGTTTGTACATAGACAAGCACATGATGAAACCCTGTACCGTGCATTCACACACACACACACAAAATCTCATATGAAAAAAAAATCTGAACGATCCATGCACCAGACACATCAAGGTCACATCGCCTTAACTTTACTAAACAACAAAAAAAAAACAATTAATACGTCATAGTGGTGGGGGGAGGCCCAAAAACGGCTGTAATCTGCTACTGTGTGAAAGCGAGTTGAAATTATCTCCCTGCAAATATGGTTTCAGAGGAAAAATGAATACTATGATGGCCGAGGAGAAAATTGTGAAGTGGATAAAAGAAAATAAGAGAAGGAGACACAGTCTTTATAAGGGAAAGAACAGTCACCTGTGGGACGGTCTCTGAATCGGTAAACAGAGACTGTCCGCAAGGTTCTAGTCTGTGACCGACCTTATGGTTGATAGTCATGTAGGAGTGGTTCGAACGAATAAGAAGCATGAAAGTAGGACAAGGCATTGACATGCATAGGGTGCACGTGCAGGTCTACGCGGATGACCAGCTGGTCATCTTCGGGGGTGACTCCGTTGAGAGCATCGGAGCAAAGCGCTTGTCTAAATAATGAAAATAAAAAGATAGTTATTTTTGACTATACATTTTACTCACTCGAAATTTATAATTCTCACTCCGGCGTCTATTGGTTTCATTTTTACCAAAGTTGGAATCTGGTAGATGAGTTGGATCTTCAGCACTATCACGTGAACACGACGAATTATTTTCTGAATTCATCTTCAGAGTTAATGATGATATTGGTGAATCCTCTGCATTACTGGAACAAGCAGGAGAATCTAGAAAAAACAGAAAATAAAAATCTATTTTAATCGTAGAGAAGATTCTCTTCTTGTTCTCCTTTAGATATGTTGATATTGAAATCCATATCAGAATCACATAAAGCCAAACAAATGAAATGGAATACACATTTAACAATATAATTAAAATAACAACTTATGAGGAGTACCCCAGAAATAAGTGAAAAAAATATTTAAATTTATTTTCATTTCATTTCATGAAAAATAAATGTTATTGTAAAAATGTTCATAATCCAAAATAAGATTGAAAAAGATTGAAAGTGTTCAATTTTACCAAGAGAGAAGAATAAAAAAACATTAATTAGATACATTTGGGTTGAAAAAAACCAGTGAAGACCAGTAGAAACAATTTCAGTTTAATACTTTTTGCAATAAAAAGGCCCTGCGATGAAGCAGCCACTTATAAGTATAACAATTGCTATGTGATTAGGTATTTGGTGGATGAACTGAAGACTTTTTTGAGTTATTACTCAATTTCATTTAGCGATTCTAATTTTGCAGCAATTTACCTACTGCACTCATGATGTGAAATACTGTAATATGAAAAATACGCAAATTTTAAGCAAACATAATCCTTATTACTATTAGGTAACTTTCATTTCTTACCTTCAGAAATAATATTACTTTTCTCTGGTACTATTATAGGTTCAGTTTCTGTATTAAGGCATATTTGGAGTATTCTCCTGGACGCTGCGCTGGAATCTGGAATTCATAATGCTTCCAAAGTTTCCATACGGAACAACACATCACACACACCGATTAGTCACGAAACAAACAACTAACCAACTTCACATAAATTTCCAACAATCCCCTAAAATACATGAACTTCACAATGTTACCAGAGCTAAGGTGTTGCAATCATCTATTTCATATTGCAGAAATATACATGTGAAGTATACACGGGTTGACAAGAGCCCATTTTATATTATGCGTCATGACATACCCTTCATTCGGAACGAACTCGGGGTTTTTGTTGATAAAATATAAATCCCCAGACTCTAAATTATAGGATCTTCGTGCATTGACTGTACTGTTACTATCTTAGAAAACATTTCGACGTCCGTATATGGACGCAGAATCATATGCAATGTATGAAGGCAGAAACAATATATATATTATTCTAGACGCGTTTCGCGTAACGTCATCGGTACTACTCAATGGACTACAATCCTTATATACAACCCTAGTTGTTACCTGACTTGACTGTGGTAAATGAGAAAACGGCTAGAATTTGAAAAACACAATGTCAGTTCTTGGTAAATTTTCATTATAAATAATTATTGGCATTATGAAAAAAAAGTTTAACATTGGTGAGTGGGTAACGTTTTGTTGGACGTTCAATAGGAAATTTGAATGTTTGCCCTTATTAGTTTTCAGAGACTCCAGCAGGTTAAATTGTCTTTGATTTTCTGTCTGGAATATGTCGTAAAAGTGTTCAATAGGAAATTTGAATGTTTGCCCATATTAATTTACAGAAACTTCAGCAGGTTCCATTTATGTCCTTCATTTTCTGCATGAAGTATGTCGTAGAAAGTCTCCTTCAGTTTAAAACTGCTTTTACATTCGGATATTCTAATTTTGAAATATTTGAAAGTCCTTCCTATATAAACATTTGGACATGGTCCCCAAGTTAGTTTGTAGACACCTTATCCATCATCTTCTATTATGTCTATTATATCCAGTAGGAGAAAGTTAAAAAATTGAATCCATTGTAAATAGTACTTCTTTCATACAGAGAGTTCTTATGTATCGGATATAAAAAATCATTCGGACATGGTCCCCAAGTTAGTTTGTAGACACCTTATCCATCATCTTCTATTATGTCTATTATATCCAGTAGGAGAAAGTTAAAAAATTTAATCCATTGTAAATAGTACTTCTTTCATACAGAGAGTTCTTATGTATCGGATATAAAAAATCATTCCTAAATCTGGTTCCATACTTATGTGTTTTATGATGCTTTTCAAAGTAGCTTGCTTGATTTATTAAAAATTGTAATGATTCAAAAATGTATATCGCTGCTAGTGTTAATAATCTGTTCATTTTAAATAATAGCTATTATTATAGTGTATTTGCCAAAAGTTAATCCATGCAATTAGTTTATAAAGGGCTGTTTGGGTAATAAATATAAAATTAAAATAAATAATGAAATAGTACGACATTATTTGGATAATCAACTATGGATTTTTGACTATCACTAATTACCAGTCATTTCAGAATCAAACTTTTTTCAGTGAGGTGGATTCTTTCTAGAATTAATTTTTTCATGATCTTTCAAATGACGCCTACAAATGAAAAATTGACATAACTTCCCCTCAGTATGAGTCTTTCATGAGTTCTCAAATTACCATTGTAATGGAAGGATCTCGAGCAGATTTCACAATGAAATTTTTTTTCACCATTATAAATTTATTTTATNAATTGGGTCTGGTTTTCTTTTTTTTTAACAGTGGGTCCGGCTTTTTAAATCGAGAAGTTTCCGCTATTTTAGGAGCACTGCCGATTGCTAGTGCGTCATTTTAACTTTCAGATTCTTGTAAGGTCGTATCAGCGCCGCTACCTGTATCTTCAGCGTCAGGAATCATCAGTAGAACGTCCTGCAGTAGTTTTTTTTCAAAAATTGCAGCTGTTGAGCAAATATGTAAGTTTTGGGTGGCTGCCTCGCACTTCCAGATTTCAAAGATGCTTTATACATTCTCTCACTTCTTTGAAAAGGATCTCGAATATTTGCCCATTTTTTCATAACGGTTTTTCCTGCAAAACAAAATACTTTTTAGTATACCACCTAGTACAATCATAATTATTTTAATACAACTTTGTAAACAATTTATTTTCATAACAATAAATTATATTGATTGATTGATGTTCGATAAAAAAAATTATTGTCTCAGATATCTGGCGAGTGGTTGTACATTTACCGATCTTCACTACAGTTATAGGCTAGACATTTCCACTATTAGCAAAATAGTGAAATATGTGTGCCACGCCATTTGTTCTCTCCGACATGAGAGCATTCCTGTGTCCGGTACAGACTATTGGGAAAACATTGCTGAAGCATTTGAACGGAAAGCTAATTTCCCTCATTGCATCGGCGCAGTAGATGGTAAACACATCCGCATCGTCCATCCGTGTAATTCAATGTACTACAATTACAAAGGATATTCATCTATAGCGTTGATGGCCGTGGCAGATGCAGATTATCGTTTTATCTACGTCGATATCGGTAGTTATGGCAAAGATAGTGATTCAATTATATTTAAGGACAGTTCCTTATGGAAATCACTTATGCCAGAAGCGAGATGTCTTTCTGGTACAAAAAGTCCCAAAGTACTGTATTTTTTCCTAGCTGATGAAGCATTAGGGCTACACACACATCTCCTCCGGCCATTTGGTGGAAATCAGTTGTCAATTTTCAAATGAATTTTTAATTATCGCCTATCTAGAGGTCGAAGGTATATAGAATGTGTCTTTGGAATTTTGAGTAATAAATGAAGGATCTTCCACAGAGCTATAAATTTGGATCCAAATTTTGCCATTGACATTGTTAAGGAATGTGTAATATTACACAATTTCGTTCTTGAAAGGGACGGCTACAATACAGATGATACTCTATCCATAACTGGGTTCCAAGATATCAGGAGAACAGATTGTGTACGTGGGGAGAGTTCAGCAAATAATGTACGAAAAATGGTGATGGACTATTTTATGACACCATTTGGCTCAGTAAAATGGCAGTTTTCTAAGATTTGATTAGCTAAGTAACAAATATAAAACAAGTAATACCTTAATTCAAATTATAATATAATCAATATAGAATTATTCTTACCAAAATCGTTTTTTTCTTTGTCATTCATTTTTTCGAATCCAGGCTTCAACTCTTTAAAAATGTCTAGCCAAGCATTTTTTGTACTCTATCCTTGTATTCTTCTAATGTTTTATCTCATATAGAAGGTCGCTCCTGTACTAAGTCAATAAGGATTTCAATTTCAGCCATGTCAACAGAACTAAGTAATGTTCAACNAATCAAATAAGACACCACACTGGAGATGAACCCTATCATAGTATTCCGTTGAACGTTGAAAAATCCAGAGGCTGAAAATGTTGGAGGAAGTTGTTTCACTATGTGGGTTAATGTTGAAAGTTTTTCTGTCTGGTTCTCTTCAACGTAAGCTTGTAACATATAGCAGGCAATCGATAATTCGGAATGTTTAACAATCACGTTATTGCATGACATGACTATGACCACGGAACACACCTGAAAAATTAAAGTTCATTCTCAATTCATGATTAGCAAATAGAGTTAATTCAAGTTGTTAGGTATGTCGAACATCATAATATCTTTGGCTTCTGTAGTAATTTTTTAATATACCAATGATTATCATCATGTATATGTATGTAATTGTAGTTTAGACAATCATCTAAGGACTATACAAGTTCAATGAAAACTACTATAATAATAATGGGTACAAAAATCGAGATACACAAACAGATACACATCCAAAATAGATCAGGTATCATCAGTAGAAGAATAATAAAAATTATTCTGATACTTTTCCTCAAGAATAGAAATGTAAAAATTTGTTAATCCAACTCAATATTTGTTTCCTAACTATAAATAGTAAAACAGAAAATACACCCAATAATATAAATAAACTAATTTATTCAGTTCATTGTATGATTTTCAATTAGTTTTTTAATATAGATTTTCATCAAGTATCGGCCAGTTCCATTCAATTTATAATGTTGATAGTACATGTAAATATTGAATATTTTTCGATTGCCAATATTGGACAATTATCGTTCCACATAATTAAAATTTCAAGAAAAAATTCAAAGTCATTGAGAATTCAAAGACAACTTGTCTAACATGAACCCTGCAAAAATTACAATTCAAATTATATAATTTAGAAAGAATTTAAAAATGTTGTCGAATAGAAAAGTGATATTAAAATAAATAACAATTTATTTCATATTCAATGAAACAAAAGTTTTTTATTCAGAAAATGGTAGAAATCAATAGTAACCCGGATTGTATAGACAAAATGAAAGATATTGAATATTCGAATAACATTTATAGTTATCTATTGAAAAAAAATCAATTTCATTCATACATATTCGATAAAGTAAAATCACACAGCATAAATAATTATTCAGAAGCATTATAAAAAGATTTTTCTTTTATTTTCCATGACAGTTTTGTCTTTCCAAGTAGCTTTGAGAATGACAATTATAATGTAAAATATACTGGAACGTTAGACATGATCGGTATATTGTACAATATTCTTCCATACTCATCAGTTTTGAACATCTACTCAATTTATTATGAGCATTGTAACATTTTGTTATATATAGTCTCTCATTAAGCACCTCCTATCTTCAAATTTGAATAAAACAAACTGAATGGGAGATATCATCGAAATTTTTCATTTGTTTGAAAGGCCTGTTGTTGTCATTACGTCTGGCATATAACATCCTTCAAATGTCCGCCATGCCATGGGTTATGTTGGCTTCAACGACTGCTGTGGTGTATGGGTCAATCACATACACCTGTGGTCGGTCGTTAGCCGGTCGGTTCGACGTGGGTGCTTTGTTCACTCACTCAAATCGCCAATGTGGCATGAGCTGTGTGGCACGTAGTGCCGTCCTGTTGCAATAGCATGTCATTGGTCTCCAGATCATCCAATTCAGGCCCAAAAAAGTTGGACATCATCAACCTATAGTGCTCAGAGTTGACAGTGATGGTCTGACCAACGTCGTTGAACCAATGACGCCGTCAGCCCCAAATCTACAAACAGTGACTTTTTTTGAATGAATTGGACACTCTTGGAACACCTGTGGATTGGTATCGTCCCAAATTCAATTTTGTTGGTTCACGTTCTAAAATAGTTACACCGTTTCTTAAAGTATTATTTGTGCCGTTTTGGATAAAATATATGATTTGTGTCTTGTTTTTG